ATCTCCTCACGCGACCACAATTTTGTTGTCGCTCACCCACTATGTCGGTTTCAGACATTATTGACTGGCTAAGTCTGAGCAAGACTTCACCGCAAGTCAAGGTCACTACCCTCCCGATCAGCTTCTACAAATTCCCTCCGTCACCAGAGCCTACGACCGTACCTCCTCCAGCAAACGACCCGACCCTTGCGCACCCGTTCACGATCCCCACTGACCTGTACAATGTCCTCTTGTCACCACATGTGCCCATCACAGTCGCGCTGGTGTACATGTCGTTAGTGTCTTTCCTAAATTCAGTCAACGCGAATCGCAAGTACAAGCCATGGGCATTCAGTAGGACATACATCTTCAAATTCCTTGTCATTGTCCACAACATCTTCCTGGCTGTATACTCAGCATGGACTTGCGTGGGGATGGTCAATGCCTTACGTCTTTCTCTGCCGGAATGGAACGAAGAGTGGAAAGTCGCTGGAACTGTGGACGCACTTTGCAAAATGCATGGACCGAGGGGAGTTGGAAGTGCCGCGACATACAATGCAACCACCAGCGCATGGCACTTGACGAACCGTGCATTACACCTGGCTGCTGATGGACTTGGTCCCGAGACCACGGATGTGGGCCGCATCTGGAATGAAGGGCTAGCGTTCTATGGCTGGCTGTTCTACCTTTCCAAGTTCTATGAAGTCGTAGATACACTGATTATCCTGGCAAAGGGCAAGAGGAGCAGTCTCTTGCAAACCTATCACCATGCTGGAGCAATGCTATGCATGTGGGCTGGCATTAGGTACATGTCTCCACCAATATGGATGTTTGTGCTGGTCAATTCCGGCATTCACTCAGTCATGGTAGTTCTGCCTGTTGACCTAATTTGAACACCTGCTGACAAGAGTACAGTATACTTTCTACCTTTGCTCGGTCGTGGGAATCAAGGTTCCCAAATGGTTCAAACAGACCCTGACAACCCTACAAATCACCCAGTTTGTCGTTGGCGCGACATATGCATTCCTCCACCTCTTTGTTGCATACCAGATACCGGTCAGCGTCCCCTACATCTATCATGTGGGAGAAGCTGTTTCGAAGGTCGTGTCAGAAGCTCCAACAGAGATCGCTTCAACTGTGTCCGCGGCAATATCAACAGGCTCCGCCGGAATGGGGGCATGGCTTAAGAAAGCACTCTTGCGAGGGGCAGGGTATGAAGGTCTTGCGGAGAACGTGTTGAACGAGGAAGGCAAACCATTTGGAGTCGATGCTGTCCACATTGTTGAAGATGTAATCAAGCGAGAAGAAACAAGGTACAGGGACGAGCTCCAGTGGGTCCATTGCCTCGACACGAGTGGTCAAGTCTTTGCAATCCTGCTGAATTGCATGTATCTCTTGCCTTTGACATGGTTGTTCTTGCAGTTCTTTATCACGTCTTACCTCAAGCAAGTCGAGAGAAGGCGAAGTCGATCAGCCAGTGAAACTGCGATAGTTGCGCGAAAGAGCTTTCAAGATGCATCGAAAGGTGTGGCGCGAAGGCTGAGCGAAGCCTTTGAAGACATGCATCGCATCACCGACGATATCGGAGACGATACTGTCCTTGTGGATGGCGATGAGATCAGGAGAGAATTAAAGGAAGCTGCAGAGCAGGCCAAGAGCACAATCACGGAGCAATCGGCCAAGGTCAAGCAGACCGCCAGCGCCAACTCAGAAAAGGTGCAACAGGAGTTTCAGCGTGATATGGAAGTGGTCAGGAAGAACCTACACGATACTGCCGAAAAGGTCAAGAGTGCCGTTGCGAAGGCAGGAGACGAGGAGACGAAGGAGAAGGTTTCAGCAAAGGCGCAAGCTGTGATAGACTCTACCACTGAAACTGTTGAGAAAACTATGGAGGGTGTCAAATCTGTGGTCCAAAATGGTAAAGAGCAGGCTCAGCCCGTGGTCAACTATGCCACAGAAAAGGTGGGGGATCTGAAAGAACAGGTTGGAGCTGCTGTTGACAACGCTGCTGAAAAAGCGAGTCAATTGAAAGAACGCTCAGTTGACGCTTCTCAACCCAGAAAGTCCCAGTCCCAAGAAGGTGTCAAGGAAGACACAGAGACAGGGTCAACGATAGATGACGAAAAGAGAGACAACTCGGAAGTGGGTTCAGAAACCGCAGAAAGCCAGGTTGAATCTGTCAAACAGCAAATCGAGGATGTCTCCGAGTCAGCAGCAGACACTGCAACAGAAGAGGAGCAATCAGAGTCGAAGTCCCCAAACGGAAATGGCACCGTCGCCGAAGAGGAGACTGGTCCCAGCACGGATCAGAACAAGACACAGTCCGAAGAGACGACGGGAACAGAGACGGGTGAGGGCGAAGAAGCCAAGGCAGAGAAGAAGGAAGAGGACAGAATCATAGATGAGAGTCAGGCGGTAAGAGACGAGAATGTCGACAGTGGCGGAGACAGCAAGGATGAAGGCGAGAGAGTGGCCAACGGAGAAGGACAGAGCTGGGCAGAAGTGGTTAAGAAGGGGGCCACTGGGGAGGAGGAAGAAACCACAAAGGAAGCTGAACCAGACAAAGACAAAGAAGGCTGGGGAATTTGAGTCGATCAATCATCGAACTTGATACAACTCTGCATTGACCCTGCGAAGATGGAATCAACACTCGACCGAAGAAGACATGTCGAAGGGAAGGGGCATTTGAGCGGCCTCTGTTTGAAGGCAAATGCGATCAGGTCACTCGCTCACCCAGACAACGCCAGAGTCTTCGAAACTACGCCGCCGACTCCATCCAGTCAACCGGCCATATGTCAAATCTACCAGACCAACCCGGCAAACGCGGACGTGCTACAGCGATTTTCGTCGAAGACTGGTTGGCATCGGACAGACAGACAGACAGCCAGGGCAAGGGCAAGGGCAAGGGCAAGGGCAAGGACAGCGCCTGTGAGTGAATAAAACAAACATAGGACGGATCTCCGGAGCCTAACCAGCCTAGGTAATTTAATTTAATGAAATGAAATATTTAAGTCACCTCGGGAGTTCCCACGCAAGGAGGCGAGCGTTCTTCCGACCAGATTAGATAGGCTAGGTCAGGGAGGTTTACGTATCTTAGATACCCGGACTGACGGATTGATACATGTGAAGCGATCCCTACAACGTGCCGTCGCGACCGTTCGAGGAATCCGGGAACACTTTAGAGCATACGCACGCAAGAGAAGATGAGCAGTGTGTACCTCGCAGAGCAGCAGGGAAGATGAAAACAAAAACACACGGTCCGACAACCACGTGTCCGTGCCGAATATGAGAACTAGAACATCTTTCCGCATGGCCGTTTGTATTTGCATTTACATATGTACGTGGCACTCAAGAGTCCTCTGTGCCTCTGGTGTGCTCTCCCCTCGAGTATTAACGTCTGCACTTGCCAGCGACGTGTCTCCAGATAAGGACCAACCCGATCTGACATCTCAGCCTCGCATTTCAACAATCATATCCCGCGGTTGAACTCCACCAGGCCGCCTTCACCGCCCCGGTCCCAGAATTCTTCCTCCAAGCTCCTCGCGCTGACAGCCTGCCGTTGCGGGAACGCCGCCAACGCCAAGGGCAGGGCAAAGATACTAGTGGTCAGGATCAAGCCCAGGTTCACGGGGAGAACCATCCTGGGTCGCGACTTTAGCCATTGTGTTTGCTGGAGTCGGACTAGGATGAGGGGAGGAATGACCATGATTGGAGTCGCATTGAGGACGCGGGAGATTGCTGTTTCGCCCACGGCGAGAATGGCAGCTTTGCGAGATTTGCCCAATGATGCGACTTCTTTGCCTGTCTTCTCGCGTTCGGCTTTTTCTTGCTCGGATTGCACAGGGAAAATGTCGATCCCGCGGCGGATTTCTTCGGAGCGCATGAGAAAGACGTTCAACACGCCTGCGCTCGCGACAGCTGCAAAGGGCACTAGACGACCGAGGACAAGTCTGGTGTTTGGGGAGAGGCGTTTCAACCGTGGAACAAGAGAGTTCAACCCAACAGCGACAGAGCATGAGGCAGAGACTGCCAGCACGTAGGATTTTACCAAAGTGGATGTACTAAGCGGTGATGATTTGTTTGCGTTGGATGAGTTGATGGCGACATTGAGCGATTGATTTATGACTTGCCAAGCGATAGTACCGGTGGTACTCAGGTTGGGTGTGAGCATACCAGCGGTGACGACCAGATTCGAGATGACGAAACAGGACATGCGGAAGGGGAGGAAAACTGGCTCTCCGGTATCTTTTCAGCGTTAGACACTCTCCCCGTCTATGGGCATGAGATATAGTCGAACCTGGATGTAGTGTTGAATCCACAATCTTTTTAGCCTGCCATATCTCCGGCGTCATGACCTTCGCCTCCCCAGTCTTGTAGGATGTAACCAGTCGCTTTGCCTGTTCAAGGCCCGAGGACGAAACGAATAGTGTTCTATGAAACAAGTAAATGGTCAGGACCAATAGTTCATTAAAGGACGGCGGTGTATATGCTGCGGTCTGTTGCGCTGTACCTTCAGCACCATTTGACGGCACAACCGACCGCCAGCCCCGGAAATTTCAAAGTCGACACTTCAAAGTGTGACGCCTGCTCTGTCCTCACCTCGGATCTGCTATCTGTGCCGACTGCATGACACGGCCCCAGTATGTTGAGAGGTCATATTGAGATGCTGGAAGATCTCTATTGCCCGGAAGTGAGGCGGACATCGTGGCGCTAGCGCCCCAACCCAGCCGGGAGGAGGTACGAGAGGGTTCGAGGTAAGTCAGAGGACCTGAATGAGTGGTTTTATGGGTTGTCCAAGGGAATGAAATGAGCGTCGAATAGTGTGGTCTCGATTAATTCTATTTCTCGCTGCGATTTCGGAGGGGCTGGAGCACAATTCCAATGCTATTGAGGAAAGTGCGCCGATGTTTCAGCCTTGCACACCCGAGCTTTGGCAACTGGACAATTGACTAACCACTAACTCACTAGCCATATCAACATCTCAACTATGTGCCTCCATATTATTGTTCGCCATTTGATCCCTACACCTCTCTATTCCCACTTAGCTCGGCAGTGCGGGAAGCGATGACCCCTTTCGCTCTCATATCCATACGGAACGGCGTGTATCTATGCGAGTCCCTGAAAGGCCCAACCGGGTTGGCGAGCTTCTTAACGAAGTTTCCTTCTCTAACCTCGCCCTCAATGCCACCGAATGCCCCATCTGTACACCACCCCAACATCCTCCGAACACGGTCAGACAAGTTGGCCTCGACTTCGGGCCTGATGGATAGGAAGTTGTTCTCTTGTTGCCGGATATAGGACCGCATGAAGAACATGAGAATCACTGGCCTCTCTCCACTTGTCATTCTGTTGGGACCGGTGGCGTGCCAGAGTCGACTTTCGAAGACAAGTGCTGTTCCTGCTGGCCCTTCTGCTGCCACTGTCCCGTCGATATTGAAAGGATCTGGAGCGCAAACAACGTCAGCACCACCCTTGGAAAGTATGACCCCATAACAATCAGGGTAGCCTTCGTCGTTGTCTTTGGGATATAATACTAAGGACAACAATAAAAGATTGACTCACCATCTGGAGCAACGGCACCAAGGTGACTGCCGGGAAACACCCGCGTTCCACCATTCTCTGCCGTGACATCCGTCAGAAACCACATGATGTTGATACCAAAGTATACGTTCCGAACAGGCGGTTGAATGCCGACCTGATCCGTATGCAACATCATCGGTGTATTCCCAGGGCGTGCAATGTTCGCGCTGTAGCTGTGGACCAGAAAGTGTTCACCCAAGTTTTCTGGTATAACCTCGTCAATCAAAGGATGCTCTAGCAGATCGAGGAACTCTTGTCCTTTGTTGATCAATGTCCAGATTCTTTGGTTGGGCGCGTTTGGGCCTCCATCCTTCGCTGCAACACCAGCTTCTACCTCACCGCGTCCCTGTTGACGAACGGCTTCTGCCAAAAGCTGGACTTGCTCCTGGGTCAAAGCATTCTTCACCAAGCCATAGCCAAATTCTTTCAGATCTCGCCTGACCTGGTCAATGTCTTCCGTTGGAGTCGGTAACCTGGCTCCAGGGCTGGGTGATACAGGATGTACTGGATCCACAGGGCACAAGGCATCAGCGAATTTGACTGCAACTTTGATGTCTCCCTTGGGCAATGTCGACTCGTCGAAGAAACCGTCCTTAAATAGAGCATATCGCGGCTCCAGCTGGCCCTGAGCAAAGGCAATGATATAGCGAGGTTTTATTTTCACCCGGCAGTCGGGTTCTCCGTCAAATGTTTGCAGTATGCGAGGCTCCTCCCGTGTGTCAATGTAAATCGGACCGCTATCCAGTCCGATATCCAATCCAAGGACAGCCTTGACTCTGGTCATCTTGGACAAGCCGTTCTTAATCACTTCCAATGCTTCCACGCGGTCATCCTTCTTTTTCGAATGAGGCCTCCAGTTACTGAACATGCCATATCTCAGGCCTGGCGTGGGAACACTGGCCGTTCCGTTGGCGATGCCGTTCGAGGCTACAGTACTAGAGCCATTTGTCACGCCATTTGGGTGGCTGACCGATTCCGCTGGACGCGAGACATTCATCTTCACCTAATTCTCTGTTGCTTGATGGTGGAAATGGTTGTTGGTCTCCATATTCTCGAAAACCACCCTCCATATTGTCTTGCTATATCTAGGATCATTTACAACTCCAAAAGGTACGCAGGAGCACCTGAGTAATGTTTTGCGCAGTCATCGAGACACAACCAACAAGAGACTTCACGTCTGCGGATTGAGACACGGTCTACCGATCCACCCCGCAGCCGTCAATGGTCTTGGATTGAATCAAATTCTTCTGACTCGACCCAACCTACGCCTCTAGATTTTGCCCGCATCGCCCCACACCCTCTCAACCTGGAGTACCCCACAAGCCTTGGTCAGAATATTACAGGTAAGAAGAAAGCTACCCTCGGTTATACCGTCTTCCTCGTTGATCAGGCTGACCTTTCTGGGTATCCGCGGTTCTCTGGCACTCACGAGACTGCAGCAACTTGACCAATTTCCCCAGTCTTTCTGTGGCACCCAGAAGACAAGGAACCGAAGGCTTCTGGAGAAGCTCGTCCGATCTACACCAGTCGCGGGGTCAGGCAAATCTGGGGTTGGCCTTTCCATCTGTTCCAAGGAATGCTCGGTCGGAACGCCCCTTGTCCTTCTCTAACTGTGGGAACACTCTAGAAACCCTTGCGACTAGTCGTACAGCTACCGTCAATAATTCCCCTTCATCCTAGCACTACTTCCTCACTTCGCACTTACTCAGACTTCCATATGTCATCACCAGCTTGACTGAAATTGACGGTCAACCCAACGGCATGAAGGATGACACTGACGCAACCAAGGGCGGCCGTGGCGGCCGTTCAGCCCGTATGAGCAATGAGGACAGGAAACTTCGGAATCGCCTGTCACAGAAGGCCTTCCGCGCCCGGCAAGCTATGCGCATCAAGGAGTTGGAGGACAGACTGGAATCTAGGCCATCGTCCGAGACCGCAAGAATCGCCGAGCTCGAAGAGCGGAACGCATTCCTCGCTAACAGGCTCTTTGAGTGCCATAAAAACTCGAAAGCCTTCAGGTCACCATCAGGGCTCTGTCAGAGGCTACTGCGGAGGCGCTTGACATGGTAGTAAGTCTTGATCGCCTGCCTACTGTTTGGATCTCAACCAGAACTGATCCATTCTGCAAAAGATCCCCAAGGACAAGAAGAAGGAGTCCCGTGCCAACGAAGGTGGAGAAGATGAAGCTCCTCGTCCAACCACGGCGCCTTCGTCGGCCTCAGATGCATCCTCACCAAGCCTGAGAGATGCCACTGTGTCCGCGCCGATAACAGATCCAATCGATACAGGAGGCATTATTATCCCAGATATGACTTTTGATGCCGCTTGTCAACAACCAGACACCTCGGCGAATGCGACAAGCTGGCCAGATTTAGAGACAGGCTTCGACGAAATCCCCGACGACTTCAAGGATGCTCTGCAAGCAGCAATAAGCCACGATCCTGATGTATTCGCCTCACTGGATTTCGTTGACTTTTCCAATCCCATTAACGACGTGACGATGATAGAGACGAACAATCCAACCATGTGGGATACCATGATGGCCGACCCAATCCTCCAGCAAAGACTATCTTTCACTTTCCCGCAGATGGGACCAGATACATATTCTGCTGCGGAGAAACACGGTCCGATCCTGGTACGAGGTCCTCACGGGCAGCTACATCGGACCAACTCCGCGTGGTCGGACCATATTGCTACTCTTGAATACTTCTTGCGGCAGAAGTGGAGATCGTTAAGTCTTCGCAGGGAAGTACAAAAGGTTTCATCCGACGAGTACGTGGGAGATTGGTACTTTGATCCAGGGAGCTTCACTAACCAGGCTTACAGTCTTCCGAGCTTGGTTTGCTTCATGCTGTCCTCATTCATATGTCTGTCGTGGCCGACCATGGCCGCCTGGCACTCATACACCCGAGCGCATATCGCGGTTGCCAGTCTTATGGCGTGGCGCCTCAACCCAACGCCAGAGATGTACGCGGTCATTGACTCTTCCCTTCGTCCGACCAAACTTCAGATGACAGCGCATCACCCATCAATAATCGACTGGATCCCTTTTGCCACGGTACGTGACAAGCTAATCATATATCATTCGGCCAATCCCCATCTGGATGAGCTGATATGTGATATCGGCAATTCATACGTCATGGAAGTCGACCTTTCGAAACTCATCGCATTCATACCTCCCACTCGAGGCTATGTCGGAGTCTGGGATCTAGTCCGATCAATTGCGCCTGAAGCCACGTCAAGTTCGGATACAGCAAATTTCCTCCAGCCGAGTTTTGAGAATTCCCCAGAGACCATCGACGATTTTGACGAGGAAGAAGAGGCGAATAGTGGTGCAACTTCTTTGCCCGCGCCCGATGCAAGTGTGCTCTTTGGGTCGAAAGCACTCGCCCTGAAAGCATTCAAGCTGATAGGGATGCATAAGGGCGTTGGCAACTTCCTACTGGATCCGCAATTCTTCCAGAGGCATCCAGAACTCTACGACCCCACGGTAAACCTATGTGCCCGAGGCGTTCCTCTACGCCCAGGAAATCGGGGGTCCATGTTAGCCCCTCAACCATTGGATTCTGGCGTGCTGAGCCGGTACAAGGAACTGTCTTCGTGGTCACTTACTTTGTCCTCCACCATAATCACAGCGAGATGAGATATTGGTCTTCTATCATCGCATATTGCCTTTGCTGTTCAGGTTCTTCCTAGCAGTCAGATCCACATTTCAGCAAATCCAGAATGATCATTAAGGCCAGATTGCTAGCTGTTTGCTAATGGCGACAAGTTTGACGTTACATTTAACAGCATCTTGACTCTGATATTCTCGAGCTTAGCAACGGCGAAGATGCAGTTTTCGGTTTCAGTGGTAAAACAATTATGACAACAACGACATGTATTCTTTGTGTCTGCAGACCCAAGTATAGGCATCGTTCCTGAGATACTCTTCTTCGATATTGTGTTATTGGAGTCAGTATGATGTATATAGTAAGGACGGAGTAGGGCGTCAGAAACAGGGCCACGCGGAGAACCAGCCGTGCCAAGGCTTCGGATTAATATTTTGCCGAGAATACAATCCACCGATGATTTAATCACACGAGTCTTTACCACGATGGTGCACTGCGGGTAAGTGTCTAAATGACCTGGTCCCAAGTAGAATTGTGACCATAAAAGTCAAAGACACTCTTTCGTCATGGCGCCGCGAGAAGAATTATCAGGCGATGAGTCTGATGACTCTCAACTTGAATGGGAAATGGAACAAGGCATTCCTCAAGTCGAAGACCCGTTCATCCAAAAGTACATGGCGGGGCGTCAGGCTCTGATCGAACAGGAGAAGAAGCAACGCCATGATCGGGCTTTCAAACAAAACATGTCTCCCATGGCCAAACAGGCAGCCAAGATCATGGCCTCCATTCGCCGCCGAGAGCTGCAGACTGTCTGGACCTCTGAGTTTGAGGATAGTCTCGCTGATAAGAACGGTGGCAACCTGTACCCAGGTATGATGTTCACCCTGGCTCGTGATCGCATGGAGACGACCGACTTGTGGAAAATTATCGAGAAGATGCCAAAGGGAGCACTGCTGCATGCTCATCTGGACGCCATGATCGACATTGACTGGCTGGTTGACCAGGCTCTGGCGGAGAAGGGATTCTGCATGGTTGCACCCGAAGGCCTGAGTGACAAGGGCAAACGAACTTCAGGTTTACTGCAATTCAGGTACTATCCCGACGAAGTTGTCAAGAAGCAGAAGAGTACGGGTAGTATTTGGACAGCGGCATACACACCCAACACCCCTGTGACGATCAGAGAAGCACAGAGGACATTCCCGGACGATGACCAAACCTTTAAGAAATGGCTAATTAGTAGGTGCACCATTACCAACGAGGAGTCCTTGTGCCACCACCATGGTTTGGATGCCATCTGGAAAAAGTTTCAGAGCACATTCATGGTCATTACCTGGATGTTTACCTACGAACCCATCTTCCGCCGCGCCATTCAGCGCCTTCTCGGCCAGTTGGCAGATGATGGCATTATCTACGTCGATCTCAGAATCGCTTTCAAATTTGAATTCCGAAAGCAAGGACAGACCACGGGTCAAATTGGCAAATTCGACGATTTCTTCACCGTTCTGGGCGAGGAGATTGAGAAGTTCAAACGATCGCCTGCCGGAAAGACGTTCAAAGGAGCACGTTTGATATGGACCGTCATCCGTAAATCGGACAACCGAACAGTGGCCGATTCCATGAAGGAGTGCATACGCATGAAGAAGAAGTTTCCCCACATGATTTGCGGCTTTGATTTCGTGGCTCAAGAAGACCAGGGAAGGACACTGAAGGATCTCACGCCGCTGATATTCTGGTTCAAGAAGAAGTGCGCCGAGGCCGGGGTGGATTTGCCTTTCTTCTTTCACGCAGGCGAATGCCTTGGTGACGGTGACAGTACGGACAATAACCTATTCGATGCACTTCTGTTGGGGACTAGACGCATTGGACATGGGTATTCGTTATACAAGCACCCTTTGCTGATTGACATGGTCAAGGAGAAAAAGATTCTGATCGAGAGCTGCCCAATCTCGAATGAAATCTTGCGGCTCTCGAGCTCCATCCTTTCGCACTCTCTCCCGGCACTGCTTTCACGAGGGGTGGCTGTGTCATTGAACAACGACGACCCTGCAATTTTGGGCCACGGAAAGAACGGCTTGAGTCATGACTTCTGGCAAGCCTACATGGCATTTGAGAATCTCGGGTTGGAAGGCCTAGCAACCATGGCCGAGAACTCCCTCAAATGGTGCGCCATTGAAGACCAAAAACCGAGCGAGTGGACCAAAGACATCACCGAGGGTTATTTGGGTAAAGGCGTCAAGGCAAAGTTACTGCGAGAATGGAGGAGCGAGTTTGAGAAGTGGTGTCAGTGGATTTTGATGGAATATCCGCTAGAGGCCGAGGAAGAGGATGGAGAGGATGAAGACGAAGATGAGTCCGAGGAAGATGAGGAGGAGGAAGAAGATGAGGACGATGAAGACGACGAAGAGTAGATTGACTGCGGCCGGCATGCTGCTGGTAGTGGTGCTGTGGTCGTCAGAGGCAACACGTTAACCGTGCCGTATCTCAGACACAGACAGATGGTCTAGATGGTCTTCAACGACAACAATGACAGGGTTCTTTAGCGGGATTTGCTCACTTTGACAGACAGATATGAAGACAATGTTGTTTCTGCTTTCTCTTATTCTTTGATCTGGCTGCACTTTTCATGCACACTCTGGCTGGTGGTGAGGCTGCGCAATAAGGCGCATCAGGCTGCGACGCTCGGGGCTCTTAAATATGGCCGGGCCGACCCCCTGCATGGTTTGTTGGTTCATCGCCCGTTCGTTCTCCTCTGCACATTGTCATGGGGTGTTTGAGCACTCAAAGACTGCCTCGTGTGACCACAGCAGAGTAGTGGACGCCGCCCCCCACTGAGCGCCCAGATCCACTGGCTCACCGTGCCCAACGGGAGCTGCTTTAGCATTTGGGGGCACCAAGATTGCCCCTCGTTGGCTGTTAGCTGCATCATCCCGCTGGCACTTATCATGGGGTGGAGCAGCAAACCCTGGGTGGCTTGTCGGTAGGGGAGTTGCGTCGAGATCTGCCTGTTTTCTCCGACTCCCATACACCTCGTTCCAAAGCGTGTCTGCGTTTGACCGAGCAGACGACACGTTTCCTCCACGGTCTCTATGGAGGACTACTGATATGGTTTTCTTCCCCTAGACGACGCAAAAGACGTCTATTTCCGTCTGATTGGAGCAGACAGACGCGGGTCCCACGCCGAGAGAAAGCGTCTGCCCGTCGCCTCTCAACTTCACCTTCTTTGTGCTGATCTCTGATCAATCCTCGTCCCTCATGTTGACGTCCATGTCCTTGTCAAACACCTGGACTTCATTCCTCCGTGGCCCGACGTTCGTACCATTTCTCGTCCTTCCTGACCGAACCACGATGACTACGTTGCCCTCATAGCCATCCGTACCCAGAGAGTCGGGAAGGGCTCATCGGACCCTCGACCATGTCATACTTTCTTCCTTCTTACTTTCAGAAGCGGCTGCTTCGATACGCCCTTCTCCGTCTTGACTTCATCGACTCGGACGAATTCGACCTCGACAACTTGGGGTTGAAATGGGGCCAGCGGACCGTCGTCGAATTGAAGAATGTCGGAATCAAAGTCAAGAGAATCATCGACATCCTCCAACTGCCTGCATCGTTCGCCCTGACCCATGCCTCCGCCAAGCTATTGCGTCTCACCCTCCCAGCGGACCTTCATATCAGTGGTATCGAAATTGAAGTGGAAGGGGTGGAGATAATCGTGGCGATTCGACCAGACAATACCACAGCTGTCACAGCGGCAGGAAAATCTCGTTCAAAAGCAGGATTTGCCCCCAGCAGGACAGACCGTGCAAACCTACCTAGGTCAAATTCACCACCCGTCCATGACCCTGGCGGCAGATATGGAGAAGCAGGGGGGCCACTGGAGTTGTCCCAAGTGCTGCCCACGTCGGAGGATCTGGCGGCGTCGTTCCTCGAGGCCGAATCGCCCGGAGAAAGAGATGAACTACAAGCTGCACTCGAGTCACAGTCTCAGATGCACATGCAAGAGTCGGTGATATCTTCGGCTTCCAGCGAAGATGTTGGGCTCGGCATGCCTGGAGGGCTTTCGTTACCTACCTTTGTCGCCAATTTTCTCAAAGGTGTGGCAGACCGGTTATCCGTCAACATCAAGGACGTTAATGTCGTCTTGGAAACGGACCTCTCGACTGGGAGCGCTGGCCCGGTAGAGAATACCAAGTTCATGCTCTCGGTTGGACACATTGCCGTTGACGCCATTGACAAGCCAGAAAGCCTAGAGCCTCAGCCAGATACGAGACGATCAATATCCATCGACGAAGTCCAGCTGTTCGTTTTGTCCGAGTCCGAGACATTCTCAGAGTTCTCTGGCCTGAGTTCGCCGAAGCTAACCAAACTACACCCTCCACTGTCACACCATGCTAGTGCACGCAGTGACAACAGTGATTTCGCTCGATCAAGCACCACCAGCCTCAGTCAGCACTCCGATCTGCCAAAGTTCTCTCCTGCATCATTGAGTAATTCTGGACTTGGTTTTGGACTCGAAGATGCAGCACTGTCAGACTCCACCATCTTCGGAAGGCGATCCAGAACCATCCCGGCTCAACTCACTTCAACGGTCGAGACCGAGTCAATCGATAATAGAGCTCATGCCGAAGAAGTGCAACAGTCCGTGGGCCGAGACAGCGACGAACGGTTTGGAATCTCAGACGCCCAGTCAGAGGACCTGGCAGAATCTAGGACATTCACACATGACGAGGCTGAGAGTATGTATATGAGCGCGATGAGTGGGCCACTCAATATGCCGGGTGGGCTGGATTGGTCACGGCCTATGCCAGAGCCTCAACCAGAACAGCAAAACGACACTGGAGACGTTGAAGAAAATGACCAAGAGGAGCCACTTGGTGATATATCCAGGACAACAACTCGTGGACCATCACGTTCTGTCAACGAAACTGAAGCATCGAGTGGGGAAAGCATCCTGGATAACAGTCTGGCATCATGCTTTCGCACTCGAATTCTACACGTGAACGCTGTAAACCTCAAAATCCCCCAGCCACATCAT